TTCTCTCAATCTGGGACTTTCTCATGCCATCCCATTTGTTATGACAATCCTAATCCATGGCTCTGAGAACGTCCGAGCACAAGCGAGCTGTGAGTGAACCGTTCTTGGCGACATTCTGGATTACGCTCTAGAACCCGATTTGTGAAGTGCATGACGCATTATGGCATGGCCAAAATCAGTCGGGAACACCGGCGAGTTTCTCACCGCATACGAGTGGACGTCACATCACAAAATCTGCGTTCCAAGAAGGCGATTACATATCCACGGTCAAAGTTTTTAGCTGATACAGCACATGCATTGAAAAAATGTAAAGCTGCAAATTGATTCAAAGTTGTGCATCGCTTGCATGCGAGATGGCGACGCGAAGGAGATCGCCAGGCGAATGAAGAAGCGGGGCCAAGTGGCGCAAGCTCCGCTCAAGGCGAACTTCCTCGGAGTCGGCCGAGGAGGCGGACGGCCTGCGGCTCGAGAGATGCGGACCCAAAGGGGGGGGGGCTCAAGCAATGGAACCGCCACTCCAAGGTGATCCGCGTCGCGAGGGCGTCCCGGCGCTCCCGGGCGACGCCGAGGCTGCCACGTCTTCGGGCTCGACCGGAAGGGACGCACTGGCAGTCCGTCCGCGGCACTTTCGGGCGGAAGCTCCAATAGTGTCGTCGCGGAGTGGCGACGGTTTGCAGCGCGGGAGGAGAGGTTTCAGCGTCGCGTCGTTGCTGGCCGCGAGGGAGCAGGGGCATGACCAGGCGCCAAGTTGCCGCGTCAGTCCCGCAGGGCCCTTCGGACCTCCCAGCGCCGCACCCTCCTCTGGGCTCCGTGGAAGCGTCGGCTGGCCATCCAGGGCATCAAACTCAAAGCCCCCATCGGGGCCCATACACACCGCCAAAGCGAGCTCCGAAATGCTCGGCGCTCCTCCTTCACGCCGGCAGCCCAGCTCGGCCAGAAGGAGGTCGACACGACGAAGGTCAAGCAGTGCCTCGACGAGCACATGCCGATCGGGGATGCGTTCAGCGTCGGCGCCCGCACGAAGGCCGCCACCCGCAGTTTACTCATCAGGGCCCGTGCTTCCTCGCAGTCTGCCTCCCGCGCTCGGCCTGGCTCGCGACCGGCACCTCGGTCGCGGTCCTCGAGGACCTCGCCCTCCTGCTCCGCTGGGGCTCGCACCTCATTCGAGACCCCAACGACTCCGACTTCGCCTTCCTGCCGAAGGGGGCAAAGCACTGGGCGAGCTCTCTACACTGACCGCGAGCCTGGCGACGCGCACCCATTCGAACTCGATCGCACATTCAGCAAGGCCATCGTTGGCGCCGCCAGTTTCCAGCTCAGGGCCGCCACCCAGCAACGCACGCCACTAACGCAGCAGGGTTCCGCCGCGGGCCGCAACTTCACGAGCACATCATCCGCCTCGACGCCGAGATGCGCCGTGCAGGAGTGGCCCCGAGTGCACAGTGCTGCCCCCCACGTTCACCAGCTTCGACCTCGCTGCTGCTTCCCCGTCGCTGGGACAGGCCTAGCTCTTCCACGCCCCCGAGCGCGTCGGCCTCCCGCTGGGCCAATCTCAACCAGTTTCAATGCGCTCTACTTCGCCCCGGACAGCTTCATCAAGATCGACGGTGTCCCTCACCGCATGTTCGAGATCGAATCAGGGGCTGGTCAGGGCTGCCCTGCCAGCGGCTCAGCATGTGCCATCGCGATGGTCCCACTGGTGCGGCACACCGCCTCCTTCCTCGAACACCCCGATGGCACTCCGGGCCTGAACAGAGGCTGCGTTGGCGGCTGCGCCGACGACGTGGGCCCGCCGACGCACGACTCCGGCACGCAGCGCCAGACTCCTGAGCCCTTTCGGGCGGGTGAGAACTTCGCACTGCCTTCGCTCAAGCCACGCAAATGCGCAACGGGCGAGCCAAGCACGCCTGGGTGTTCCTGGGACCGTCGGCGCCTCTGGATTGCCAGTGGCTCACCCCGGGGCAAGAATGGCGGCAGCGAGCAGCTTCTTGTATCTAGTGCAGAGCGGCAGCGACGCCACGGTCCGCCGTCACCACGCTCAGCTCGGTCGCTCAATTATTTCCGCTGGGCCAGCAGGTCGCGCGGCGCGGACACGACGTTGTTCATAGAACGCCCGGCATGCCGCCGAGCTCGCTCCGCAAGGTAGACCTCCTTGCCACGGCCGAGTGGAGCCCGGCGCATGTTCCTCGTTCCGACCAGGTCGCTGCTACAGCTGCTTCGTTCACTCGGCCCTCCGCACCCTCAGCGGAGACTGAGAACTGTTCCTGGACCGCCTCCGCGATACGGCGCGGGAGGAAAGTACAGCGCACCCACACCATCGTTGGATCGCTGGCTTGTGGTCACCCCTCTTGGGGGAGGAGCCGCGTTCCACTGTCCAGTTCTACCACACACACACACACACATATATATATATATATATATATATATATATATATATATATCGGTCGTTGAAAGTAGGTATGTTTGGATTCCCATATTCCAACCTGCTCGAAGCGCCTTCCTGCTCCCATGATCGAGCGGGCTTCACCTGCTCCGTCCTCCCGGGGGGGCGGGCGGACACCCCGTCTGCTCCCCACGCCTTCCTGCCTCGCGCCTCTGCCCTGCTTCTTCCGACCGAGGGGCACTCTGCAGAGCGGCCCTGCTGCTGGCCCCTCTCCGCGCACGCAGCGCAGCCTCCGCGACCGGCGCCACCAGGAGAGAGGAAGCTCGGGAGGGAAAAAAGCACACAGACACAATTTATCGCCGGTTCCCCAGAAAATATGGGAAAATATGGGAAGTGGGGGGACGGCAAAAGCCCAGAAAGTATGGAGAATTGCTGGGGAATCTTGTTATTTGTGTGTATGTACTTGTGTGTCCCAGGGCCGTTTTCAGAAGAAGCGCACGGCACGAACCGCACGAGCCGCCGACCCGCCCAGGCAGCCCCTCGAGCACCGAGGGGGGTGGTCGCCGCATCGCTCCGCGCGCTGCCACGTCGACGTTTTGAGTCGGGCCTGTCCCTCTGCGCGAGGAATCTTCGAAAGTAGTCCACCAAATAGTCTCGGGACGAGGCTTTGACTATGGTTGACCAGGTTTCGGCATGTGCAGGGGTATTGTTTCTTTCTCGTCCACCATCCCCCTGTAGGGAGACATGCCCGACCTAAGTCGAATTCGCCGTTTTCACGGCTACCCTACAGAAGCGATTGGTAGCTTGTGGCATCTCTTCGCCGCCGCGGACAGCCGAGCTCACCGTGCGCCTGCAAGCGCTCACCAAGCTGCTCAGGCATATTCGCCCAAGCTGGAGGTGGGCCACCCACAAGTCTCTCAGCGGTGGGTAGACAATGTCGCACCGCACACGTGTGTTCGTGCAGCGCAAGTGCGTCTTCGGCTATGCCGAACACCTGACTCTTTTCCTCATCACCCCGCCCGGTCCGTCCTCGCGGGCCTCCTCTGGTCCCCCGGCCTTCCTCCCATCTGGAGCACATATGGCAGCATGGGCACTCAGATGACCGAGAGAGCGATCTCCCCTTGTTCCGTACTGTCCAGCGGGTCTCTCTCGCCCCTCTTCTTCCTCCCCCCCTCCTCCTCCTCCTCCCCCCCTTCCCCTCCTCCTCCTCCTCATTCCCCTTCTTTTCCATTGTTACTATAAGACGAAGCAAGTTGCTTGCCCGACGCCCGATGCCACAGCGTCTGCGTCCAGTGCAGCCCGTGCCAGCATTTGACCTCAACTTGATGATCTCCTGCGCCGCGCTGCCAGCCGCCAAAGTTTCTCGGCTGGCTCGTGCGGTTCGGAGACACGCGCCGCCCCCAGGGTATTGTCACTCCTCCTCCGCCGCATCCTCGCCATCATCCTGGGTCCGCATCACCCCATCATCCTCGTCATCCTCCCTCCTTTGCCGTCCTCCTTCTGTTCCTCCTCCTCCTCACCCTCCTCCTCCTCCTCACCCTTCTCCTTCTTCTCGGCATCAATGCCGTGTTCCGTCTTCCTCAATCCTCGCCTTCGTCATTCTTATTCCATCACTGCCTGCCATCGTCGTAGTCGGCATCGACATCATCATGTTCATCACCATTATACTCACCATTATCCAGGCCCACCCACCCCCCCCGTCACCGCCTCTTCCGTCTCCATTGTCGCCTCCCCTTCTTCTTCAGCCTGGCGGAGCAGAGGAACAGGAGGCAGGAGGACAAGGAGGAATTCAAGGAGGAACAGCAGCAGAAGCAGGAGGAGTTCAAAGAGGAGCAGCAGCAGCAGCGGCGGCAGCTGTGGGAGCAACATGATCAGGAAGAGAGGCATGGGAGGGTTTCCGCAAGGGCCAGAGACCTGGCGCCAGAAAGACGAATCGGCAAGGGCTGTCGAGACCGTCCTGGTGCGCGAGAGATTGTCTTGGCCAGACCGTTCCGTCGGGACCCCGAGCTCCGAAATCCAGACACGGCCAGAAACGGGATAGATCCTTCCAGAGCGTTTCCCGCACGCTCTGGAGCGGCCGGGGCGTTCCCGACACGTCCTCCAGAAAATTCAGGAGGGAAAAAAACACACAGGCACAATTAATCGTCGATGCCCCAGAGAAGGTGGGAAAACATGGGACGTGTGGGAAGACAGAAAAACAGAAAATATGGGAAAATGTGGGGGATCCTGTTATTTGTGTCTATTGACTCGTGTGTCCCAGGGCCCCTCAAAAGTCGCAGGATCTCAGAGATCCCCGATGCGATGCTGCCCCGTGCCAGGACCCGTCCGCCCCTGGGGCCCCGAAGAGCGGGGCGGAGGCGTCCGTCCGCCGTGTGTTGTTGCGGCTCGCGGCCCTGGGGCCTCGGCAGCGGGCAGGAGGAGCAGCGGCTCTGGCCCTGCGTCGGGCGCGTCCCTCCACAGGGCGAAGGGTCGACAATAGTCAAAAGGTAGTCCGGGGACGATTTGTCTATCATTTCTGGACTATGCTGGAGCATGTTTGGACGATCTTCGATGTTTCGTCCAAACTCCGCCTGTAGGGTGACATGCCCGACCTGACCCTGGCCCCCGCCCCTGCGAGGAGAAGCACAAGCTCGAGACGGAGCGGCTGCTGGAGGCGCAGATCCAGGAGGGTACGCTGGGGGGGGAGGGACAAGCGCGCGCGAGGGACGACGACGACCACCACCACTTCGTCGTAAATCATTATTCGGGGAAAAGTTGAGGATGCCGCACGGGGCCGTCTGGATGACCACGCACGGGAAGCCGCCTAGGCAGGCGGGTGCTGCTGAGGGCGGAGGTGGCGCCCGGTCTGGCTGACCTCCTCCTCCTCCTCCTCCTCCTCCTCGTGCCCCAGTGTCAGGCCGAACTGCGCGAGGGCACCGTCGGCATGGTATCTCCGATTCTTGATGCGCTTGTTGACTTCGACGCCCCACCAGAGGACCCCGAGGGCAGGTCGAAAGGGCGGGCCAGGCGTTTCGCTTGAGGCTTCCGCACCGTTTGCGATGTTGAGGCTTCACAGGTCTAGCAGTTTCACGGATGGAGGGCGGGCCGTTTTCAACACGTGGTTCTTGCTTTCGCGCCGCGCACACATTCGTCTTAAAAATTGGCGAGAGCTTCACGGATGAAGGGCGGGCCCTAAATGTGGTTCTTTCTCTCTCTTTAGCGTTAAGTCGGGCTTGTCCCTCTACAGGAGGAAAATTTAGAAATAGTCAAAAAATAGTCTGGGGATTATCCCAGTGCGACCCTACCTAGGAGTTGGAGCCTCTAGGGAAGCAACATGAGTAAGAGCGGAAAACGCCGTCCTCCTCCTTCTCCTCATCGTCGTAGTTGTAGCAGTAGCAGTAGTAGTAGTAGTAGTAGTAGTAGTAGTAGTAGTAGTAGTAGTAGTAGTAGTAGTAGTAGTAGTAGTAGTAGTAGTAGTACAAGTAGTAGTAGTAGTAGGTAGTAGTAGTAGTAGTAGTAGTAGTAGTAGTAGTAGTAGAAGTAGAAGTAGTAGTAGTAGTAGTAGTAGCAGCAGTAGTAGTAGTAGTAGTAGTAGTAGTAGTAGTATAGTAGTAGTCAAGTAGTAGTAGTAACTACTACTACTACTAGTAGTAGTAGTAGCAGCAGCAGTAGTAGTAGTAGTAGCAGCAGCAGCAGTAGTAGTAGTAGTAGTCCAGTAGTAGTACTAGTAGTACTAGTACAAGTACTAGTCTAGTACTATAGTACTAGTAGTACTAGTAGTACTAGTAGCACGAGTAGTAGTACTAGTATAGTAACTAGTACTAGTTAGTAGTAGTAGTAGTAGTAGTAGTAGTAGTAGTAGTAGTAGTAGTAGTAGCAGTACTAGTACTAGTAGTAGTAGTAGTAGTAGTAGTAGTAGTAGTAGTAGTAGCAGCAGCGATAATACGTCGGGTTTCATGACTCCCTGCCGGTGCTATGTGCGAAACCTTGGTGAATCCTAAGGGCTCAAGCTGCCCCACTAAGGGCTCAAGATGGCCCACAGACGGACAACATGCATGGAACATACGTGCGCACACACACATGTAAGTACATATGCATAGCAGCAGCAAGAGTGGATGCTGTGCTGCGCTATGCTATGTTCTGCTATGCTATGATGTGCTATGCTATGCTATGCTATGCTGCGCAATGCTATGCTGGGCTAGGCTAGGCTAGGTTAGGCTATGCTATGCTATGCTGTGCTGCGCTATGCTATGCTGCGCTATGCTATGCTAGGATATGGTATGATATGATATGATTTTGCTTTGCCTTCGTTTTTGCCTTCACTTTTGCCTTTGCTTTTGCCTTTGCTTTTGCCTTTGCTTTTGCTTTCACTTGGCACCCAGGGAGCGCAATTGGGAGAACCGCGCGTTTGCTTTTACCTTTGCTGTTGCTTTTGCTTGGCTCCCAGGGGACTGGGGGAACCGCCCGGGGCGGTTTGCACTGCCCGGCCCCTTTAAGCCAAGCGAGTAAGAACCCTTCTAGGCAGAGCCTAGGTAGGGAACTCTTTTTTGATCGCGCAGATTCGTTTCAAAAATGCAAGAGTCACACGAAGGGAGGGCGGCTCCTTTCTCAAAGCTTGGTTCTCGCTCTAGCGCCGCGCACACTCGTCTGAAGACTCTGCAGCAGTTTCAAGGGTTCTCATGGCTCACGTCCCAGACATGGTTTCTGGGCATGGTGTCGGAACGGCAGGGCGCAACAGTCACGTTGATTCGCTGCGTTGAAGTCCAAGGAACGGTGTTCTGGCACGTTTCGGGACCATCAAGACGCAACAGTAACAGTGATTCGCGGCGCTGCAGTCCCAGGAACGGTGTTTGTTCACAGTTCCGGATTTCCTAACGTTTGTCTTCTAACGGGGCATTTCATTCAGTGGAAATGAATATTTGCAGGGGCCTGTGAAGAGGGAATGTGGAGGAAGATTGTCTTGCAATATCTTTGATGAGTCTTGGCATGACATTGGTCTCCCCTCCTCGTCCTCCCTGTCCTCCTCCTCCTCCTCCTCCTCCTCCTCCTCCTCCTCCTCCTCCTCCTCCGCTTCCTCCCCCTCCTCCTCCTGCTCCTCCTCCTCCTCCTGCTCCCCCTCCCTCCTCCCGTCGCTGCTGGCTCGAGGGTCGACAACGTCATTCCCTTTCTCCTCCTCCACACGCTTTCCGTATAGAAATGATTCTCTGTCGCTCCCCCAGACGTGACGGTAGGGCGGGCCTGACCCTTCGGTGGAGTGCAGTCGGGGGTTGCCTGGAATATTTCTGGAACGCCTTCGGGAACTGTCTGGAATGCCTTCGAGGGAACATCTCCCCTGGGGGGGGAGGATGCGCGCAGTCCCAGGCATTGCCTGATCAGAGAGTGGTCCAGAAATGAAGGCTTCGACAGACTTCTGGTCCCTTGCAAGGTCTGCTTGGCTAATGATAGGCCCCCATGTCTCTCAGGGTTGCCACCGGCGGCGACGGATGTCCAGTTATTGTTTGCGCAGCGGCCAAACGTGCGTCGGCGAGCATGCTGACGCGCTCGTCATGGAAATCAGCGCGCAGAGGAGGAGGAGGAGGAGGAGGAGGAGGAAGAGAACGTCGAGGAGGAGGAGTAGGGAGACGAAGAGAGGGAGGAGGAGGGGGAGCAGGAGGAGGGGGAGGGCAAGGGGGAGGGATACGACTGGGAGAAGGAGGAGGCCGCTCGCTTCTTTCGTCGCAGGCGTGGGCTCTCGCCTTGTTGCTTCAGCGCATATCTGCCCAGAGACACGCTCGCCCGAGGAGACCCAGGACCTGAAGGACCGCTTCGACCGTGCCAGGCAGCGACTGCCACCACTGGGATGGCCTCGGAAAAAAACCATGGTGCGTGGATGGCAGGTCGTGGAGCTGCGTGGGTGGAGTGGCAGGCGGGCGCATTGTGTTATGTCACGTCATACGGCATCCCCGTTTCTTCCCCACGGATCGCTGATGCTCTGCGAATCCCCATCGGCCCATCCAGACGCGATATCCAGACGAGTCGTCTGGAGGAGTGGCGCAGATGAGCATGCAGTGAAGCAAGAAGACCAACAATGGTGAGCGAACGGGCCAGGCGGATCCTCTTGGAACCATCTTGGAGCTCAATCCTTTGAGCGAGGTAAGTCAGAGACTTGCGCCCTTGGGTATAAGAGGCGGCGGAGAAGGGAAGCGGGAGAGGAGGGGGAAGGAAAGGCAACGAAGGGGGAAGCGGGAGAGGAGGGGGAAGGACCTATGTATGATTAATGAGGCAAGAGCATCGGGGCCCTCCCCCTCCCCTTGAAGCCAATGAGTTCTATGAGTTCTATGACAGGCACTAGACGGCCGGCAGGAGATTCGAGTCCTGTTCACGGCCCAATCAGGGAGAGCATGTTGCGCATGGAACGCTTTGAGCAGAGGTTGAAGTGCTGGATCCGTGAAAGGGTCAGCCCAGGCAGTCTGATGGTCAGTAGTGTTGATGCCTCCAGTGGCTGCGGGTCGACTCTGCTGTCCACCTCTGCCCGCCATGCCCCCCGGCGCCCGGCCCCAAGCTGGGAGCACAGGAGGCCCGAGGGCGCCGAGACGGCCCCGAGGGCGCCGGGAAGCCACGCCCCCCGACATGCCATCGAGGGGCTCGGTCGACCTCCGTGTTCGACCCCTCCCGTGGGGCCCGCTTCTCGTCCTGAGTCGCTCTGCGACGGCCCCCAGGACTGGGGCCAGGGCCTCCAGAAAGCCAGAAACTGTCCTTCGTGGTTTCGTGCACACGGCGCGAGGAGACGCCGCCAGATTCATGGACTGGGGCTGCTCAGAACGCTCCGACTGGGTTCTAAGTTCAGACGTGCTGGTGCTGTTTGTGGTTGCCCTCCTGGGAGGTCTGGGGACCAGGGGCAACGATTGCGGGGGATAGGGGGCAGGTTCAGAACAATGGTACCCAGGACTTGTGATAGCCCCATGTGTGTTTACCCCGTCCAGCTCCGCCAGTAGATCATTGCATCACCTGCGTCGTATTGACTGGTCTCGATGGACACACACACACACATTGGCGCTAGCACACGTTCTGAGGATCATCGGTCAGAGGAGAACGCATGGACCCCCGAATCGCCCACTCGTCGCCGAGAGGGGCCCGGTGGCACACCCCGCCCAGGAGCGCGCGGCTTCGCCATCGGGGGCCCATCGCCAGTCTGTCAGCGACGCCTCACTGGCCCAAGCTCGGTGCTTGCCCCCTGTGGGCTGGCCCCCCCCCCATCGCTCCTCTTTGCCGTGGTGGCCAGAGCTGCCGTGCCACCGAGTCCAGAAGGCCAGCGCCCAATCCCCCCAGGGGGGCTTGGAAGGGCAGCGTGCTACCCTGGCGCGCCTCGTGCCGGCTCTCGCGCTCAGTGCCCTCGCTGGGTGTGCGATTGCCGAAGGCAGCTGGCATTGGTTCCGGCGAGCAGGGGGGGAGGGGGAGGCAAGGTTCGATGTTTTGCTTTCGGGCAGGTTTTTTGTCTTTCTCGGCCTCCGGGGAGGGGAGGGGCCGTTGTCCGTCAAACCCGGGCCCGAAGTGGAAAAATTTGAACCTGATGAAGCTTGGGAGGGGTATAGCGCACTCGGCTTCACTCACCCCTTTTTCACAGATTTTCTCGGAGCCCATCCAGTTCAGAGGGCGTGCACCCTACGGGCCTTTGGCCTGAGGAAGGCCGACCTCCCACCTCCCTTCGGTGCAAGCACTGGGGGGTGCGGGGGGCGCCTCTGTGCAAAGGACGCAGAGGGCGTTCTGTCCGACGCCTCGGCTCTCTCCGAGGAGTCTGAGGGAGGCCTGAACTAGGCTTAACGGGCGAAGAACAGTATAAGATACATGTTTTCGCTGTCGGGGGCGCCTGTCCCAGGGCGGCAGGAAAGTTTATACCCTTACGGTGGCACGTCAAGGTAAAAGCTTCCCAGCCGCCCTGGGGAAGCGCCCCTGGTGACGGAACAGGTTATGTTATACCATTCTTCGCCCGCCAATAGGCCTCCACGAGCCGCATTCAAGGCTCTGTCTCATCGCATCTCACCCCATCCAGGCCGCCTCTTGGAAGCCTCTTGGGGCCTCTTGGGGGCCTCTTGGAGCTTTCTTGGGGCGCTCTTGGGAGCCTCGGGGGTCATGTTGGCACCATCTTGGAGGTGCACGATCAAACAAGGAGGGTTCCTCAATTAGGGCCCCCCAGGAGGCCAAAGTGAAGCCAAAAAACTTATGTAAAATCAATGATCCAGGCTTCCTCGCCGAGGCCATCTTGGATGCTCCAACGCGCCGCGAAACCCCCCCGCCCAAACCCAGCGGTGGGGGGCAGGGGGGGGGGCCGAGGCCCCCCCCCGGGCCTCCTCCGGGCCTGCCCCGCCCAGGGGGCGAGGCCCCCGCGCGCGCGCGCCCTCGCCGGGCCTCCTGGCGGCGGCCGGCGACGCACGGCCCTTGCGGGAGCCGCTCGGGCCGCCCTGGGGTGCCAAGCGGCTCGAGGCTCGAGCAGGGGCGAACGAGCGAGCGAGCGCGGGCGTCGCGCGCGCCCACAGCGGAGAGCCCGCCCGCGCCCGAGTCGACCACACGTGAGAGTGGCCCGTCGCCGGGGTGGCCGTTGGTGCAGGCTCACCGCCGCCCCCCCCCCCCCCGATCGCTGAGCGCGATGCGACAGTGGCTGCTTGCGCGCTCGGATGCGGCCGCCTTAATGCGCCCCCGTCATCCGCGCACTGCAGGTCACTTCTGCCTTGGGTCGCTCTTGCGCGTAGCCGAGTGGGGCCCGCCGTGCCCGGTGTCGGCGGCGCGCCCGGGGGGAATCGAGGTGGGGCCAGCCTTCCCAGATGGCGGCGGGGCCTCTCAGAAGCCTTCTCCTGTCTTCTCCGGAGAAGGCTTGGAAAACTTTTCAGGAGGCCAGAGGCCTTCCGGGCCTTCTGAGAAGGCCCGCCCCCTCTGGCTTCCCCCGTGGGCGCGCCGCCGAAAAGAGGGGCGAACGAACGAATGCACCAGCGCGGGCGTCGCGCGCGCGCCCAACAATGGAGCCCGCCCGTGCCCGATTAGGGCACGGCGTGGAGGCCGCGGCCTAGGTTCAGTGGATGCTGTCGCTGTCTTTTCGGCACGGACTCGGTTCGCGGGAATCTCGGTCCGCTGGGGCTCGGTTCGCCGGGGCTTGGTTCGCTGGGGCTTGGTTCGCCAGGACTCGGTTCGTCTGGGCTCGGTTCAACCGACTCAGTTCGCCAGGGCTCGTTCGCTGGGGCTCGTTTCGCCGGGGCTCGTTTCACCAGGGCTTGTTTCGCACGGGCGGGTCGGGTCGGGCGGGCGGACACTGACAGGCGGATCGGGTCCGGCAGGCGGACCCTAAAGGGCCTAACGGGCGAGTCCGGTCGGGCGGGCGGGACATTTTAATATGTTGCAAGATCGAATTAACACGCGCGAGCCATAGCGAGCGGGTCGGGTCGGGCGGGTGGGCGAATCGCTCGAGACAGGCGAATCGAGCCACGCGATTCGAGTCTTGGGCGAGTCGAGCTTGGGCGAATCAATCCAGGCGAATCGAGACTCGGGCGAATCGAGCCTACGCCGTGTTGTCCCCCTCTGCCCTGAGGCCCAACGACGCGAAAGTATACAAAATCGTGAAAGATCACGACCGGAGCCTGGGACCCCGTGTTTCTGCGGCACTTCTCGAGCCGCGCGGACCTGCGACGGGCCCCGAGGCCCGAACACGAGACCGCCCAGTTTGGGTAAGAAAACAAAAAAACAAAAAAAAACAAAAAAAACAAAAAAATGCGACGCCAGAGGAGGAGGGGCGGGAGGAGGAGGAGAAGGAGGACGAACAGGACCGCCCGCCCGCCCGCTGAAAGGTCCCACACGTCGCCGCCGCCGCCGCCGCCGCCGCCGTCGCCGTCGTCGAGCCGCCGGCCACGCAGGCAGTTGCAGGAGGCGCAGGTCGACATGCTGCAGGGGCGCCTCGCCGAGCTGCAGCGGCTCTACGACTCGCGGCCCCCACGCCCGGAGGCCCGCTCTCGGGGCTCGCTCGGGGGGCGCACCATGCGGGGGTGCTGAGGTCGGGGAAACGTAAGACTCGAGCAAGCCAGAACTCGGGCTTGCCGACGTTCTTGATGAGCGCGTCCTGGATTTTGACGGTCCAGCTTGGGTGGGGTGTTTGCAGTGGGAGCTCGCGTCAAGTTTCGGGCTGGGTCTCGTCATTTGTTACGAATGGCCCCTTCAGAGGCCAACCCGAGTCTTGAGTCGGGCCTGTCCCTCTACATGGGGAACATTCAAAAAGAGTTCAGAAATATATTCCGGGGACGATTATTTTTTATTATTTTTGGATATGCTTGATGACTTTAAAACTATGTTTGATTTTCGCCCAAAATCCGCCTGTAGGGGGACATGCCCGACCTAACCCGAGTCCCCCCTACCCGAGCCCTGCGTCTCCCCGAGAAGGGGGGGAGGGGGCCAACGAGGGCTGCAGAGAAGGGGGCCCCGGAGGGCCCCTGAAGAGGGCCCCAAAGGAGGCCTGCGGGGCCCGAGAAGAGCACATTTTTTCCCCCGCCCCTGGAGGGTTCTCCGAAGGGCTTAGGCGACCCGTCCTTGTCCTCCTCCTCCGCCTCCTCCTCCTCCTCCATCTCTTCCTCCCCCTCCACCTCCTCCTCGTCCTCCTCCTCCTCCTCCTCCTCCTCCTCCTCCTCCTCCTCCTCCACCTCCTCCTCCTCCTCCTCCTCCTCCTCCTTCTCGGGTCTCCTGCGGCCCCGAGGGAAACAGCTTGTCTTCAATCGGGCATGTCCTTCTACAGGAGGAGTATTCAAAGATAGTCAAAAAATGACTGGGGACGATGTTTCTAGTATGTTTTGATTTCAAAAATATGTTATGGGTATTAATGCTTTCGCCCAAAATCCGCCTGTAGGAGGACATGCCCGACCTAACGCTTGTCGCCCCCCCGCACACACACACACACACACACACACACACACACACACACACCTGTTTTTCGCCCCACGCTTGTCACCCTTACAGGCCCCAAAGGGGGCATGCAGGGCCCGAAAAGGGCACCTCTCTTTCTCCCCGTCTTGTCGCCCCCCCTCAATTCGCGCCCAGCTCATGCCGCGCCTTCGCCTCGTCTCCGGGGGCTGCCGAAGCTCCGAGGCCCGCCTCGAACTCTCGTCGCACGGGGCTGGGACGAAGACAAATCCGTTCCAGAGCGTTCTGGAAAGCTTTCAGAGCGTTCGGGAACGCTCCGCGGCGCCCGATACATTCCCCGAATTCGCCAGATCTCAGGGATGTTCGATTTATCCGTACCCGATTTTATCCTCGCCCTAGCTTCGTCTTATCTCGCAGTTTGCTTCAGCCAAGTCTCGTGCCAGCTCTCGTGCTGCTTTTGTTGCAGTAGTGTTCTCATTCGGTGTGTGCGATTGCCGAAGGGAGCTGGCCTTGGAGCCGGCTGGAGGTCTGAGGTGGCCCAGCACTGGTTCCGGCCGGCAGGAATGGGGCAGGTTCGCGGTTCTGGATTCGGGCAGGGACCGATGTTTTGCCTCTTTCGGCCTTTGGGGGCCGTTTTCTGGCTTCGGGAGTGTAGCGCGGATGGACCCTGGGAGGGGTCCACGGACCGATTTTGAACGGATTTGGCTTCATCCCCCCTTGCGCGACCAGCATTCTAGGGTCCCAACCTGTTCAGACAGAACTGATCGAGGCCACATTTTCGGTTACCCCGCGGCCCACGTAAGGACCCCCGAGACCCTCCCCTCCCACGCGTGAATGGTTTTCGTGCGACATAGCCAGGGACTGCAGCAAGCTAGATCACATAGACAGGTGTGCCGTTCGCAAAAAAAAAAAAAAAAAAAAAAAAAAAAAAAAAAAAAAAAAAAAAAAAAAAAAAAAAATCCCCTCCCACGCCCTCTGCCCGACGCTGCTGCCCCCACCTCGGCTGCCACGTGCTGCGTGTTGCGTATCGGGGGCAGCTTGCGAGCGGGCCTTCCGCCTTCTCGGGAGGCCATCCCCGCCACCCCCCCCCCATCTCGCCCTGAAGCTCTGCGCGGCTCCCGCTGCGGACGTGCTTCCTCCTCGTCGCACCGCCGGTCTTCCGTGCCCTCGTCCTCGTCATCAGCCCCCTAGCCTTGCGTCGGGCCTGTCCCTCGACAGGAGGAGCCTTTCAAAAACAAGCACAGAATAGTCTGGGGACGATGCTTGTTATATGTTTAAGCACTTCTGGAGCATTTCTAGATTGTTTAAAATTTGTCAAAAATCCGCCTGTAGGGGGATACGCCCGACCTAACCCTCCTCCTCCTCCTCCTTCTCCTCCTCCTCCTCCTCCTCCTCCTCCTCGTCCTCGTCATCATCCCCCCTGGCCTTCACTTGCCGCCTGTCCGCCTCGGACCCTCCCCCCAGGACCTCGACAGGATCGCGGCGCTGCAGGCGGAGCTGGAGCAGAGGACTCAGGAGATCAAGCGGCTCAACGAGGAGATGCACTTCTACAAGGATGCCTCCCTTTGAGACCTGGAGTCAGTATCGTTTAACCGACCCCCATCCCCGTGGCGGCGCGAGGGCTTGCGGAGGCGACCGCGCTCGCGCACGAAGCGCGAAGTCAGCAGACCGAGTTTGCAGGCTGCTTCTGCCAGGGACGGCACTGCAGAGTCCAGCCCTCCCCGGTCAGCACTTGTTCTGCGCGCCAATGTGACCGAGTGGTCGCGCGAGCGCCCGTACGCGGGCCTAGGCCCGCGGACCGTGCAGGCTTCTCAGGAGACACGAAGCCGAGTCCCCAAGGAAGTTCAAGGGTTTGCTGCTCAGTATCGCAAGCTGCACTGCTCTCCTGCGAGCAGCTGCAAGTGCATGCCCTAACAGGGATGGCAGCGGTCCACATGCGTTGCCGCACCTGCCCGCCACGGCACCTGGGAAAGCCACGCGGCAGCGCCGCAGCGTGGCCCCGCTGCGGCGCTACATGACCGTCGCGCTGCCTCTGGCGGCCTTTCTGGGAGATCCTCTTCGGGGGGGAACCCCCTTGGTGTGCATATCCCAGGCAATCACATGTGAGCCCTGCCCCTGCAGGTAAGATTTCAGAAACGCCGGCTGGAGCTCAGGATTCGAAGTATGTCTGCAGCCATGTCGCTTGGGGAAGTTGCGTGGCAACGCTGCAGCGCAGACCCACTGTAGCGGTGCATGACTGTCATGCTGCTTGCAAGGAGCCGCTCAGAGGCCTCCGCTCGAGAGGCACCCCTTCGGGCGCACATCCTATGTAAGCAAGACCCCGCGTGGACCTTGCCCCTGCAGGTCAGATTTCTGAAACGCCGGCCGGAGCTCAGGACTCTGAGGATGGATTCGGGTCGGACGAACGGGGGGGATTGGGAAGGGGGGGGTACGAAATCTGCTGCGTGCAGCTGGTTTCGGCCCCGCCGCCGGGCCCAGTCCTCGATACATGGCCGCCTCCGGCGCCGGGAGGCGCCGGGAAAGTCAGCTACGTGAGCTGATTCTCAAACCCCCCCTGAGGAGGAGGAGGAGGAGGAGGAGGAGGAGGAGGAGGAGGAGGGCGGGGAGGATCCCCCCCTTTCGCCCAGCCCGATGGATGTCTGCTTCCACGTGGGCCCCGGCGGGGCTGCGGGGCCGAGCTGGGCACAGCAAGAGCGCTGGCCAGGCGTCGTTCCGGCTCGCAGCCCTCCTGCGGCCGAGCAGGCTGGGCCTCCGCAGCGTGCATCCTCAGAGGGGGAAGGAGCTGTGGAAGTCGGCTAATGGAGAGGAAGCATGCTGCCAAATAATTTCCAGATGCCCAAAGGATGTGTAAAACAGGTTTAAAATATGTAGGAGTATGTATGAAAAACATGTTTAGAACATGTGTTACACATGTTTAAACACGAGTTCAACTCAATGATAGGATTGTTAGAGTGTCCATTGTCATGGCATCCACAAGGAAAGAGGCGCCTACACCGCTACAGTTCCCTCGTGTTCACCTTTTTGGGAGGCCT